CCACATCCTCACAAAAAAAGTTAGGCACCATAGTAAAAAAATCATAAGTCAGTTCTAATTAATTGTTTTTTGTTAAAAAAATAGAGAACAGGATAAGTGAACATTTTCAATGCGGGTATAACGATTGACGAACACATGTTAGCTCGATTCCTACCGGATTTAAATGTGAAACACGATGTAGTTGTTGCTATTAATCGCGCAAATATTGTTTTATCCGATTTATCTTGAGACCCATTTTCCCATCATCTTTTACTTAACCTTCTAGAAGGCCAATAAGAAATCAGTTTATATATTCTCATCAGATGTTAGTGATATATGATTGCTAATAGTGCATGCAAAACGATTGTCATAGTATGTAGGAGAGAAGGACTGAATCCAAATTTCTACCCCTATACACTTCAAAACTCGTTTCAGATCGTGTTTCATAAAATGAAGGCTAGATAAATGAAAAAAAAGGTTGCCATTAATAACAAATGAGCTAATCTGTGACCATTTTTCATATATTTTCGTAGCGAGAATGCAAAGCATGAATTAGGCATATTATTTCGCTGTAGTAATAAATTTTCATTAAAATAATTGGAAAATTCGACCTAAAAATTCGTTTTGTTTTGAAAGACTATGAAAAGAGGATTTCAACTATCAACAATGATTCTATCTGTGATGATCCTTAAACAATGAAACATCAGTACTACTGTTCTCTTTAATATGCAGCAGAATGAAATTTTCTTTCAAAATTAAATTTCATCTTTTCATCGATAGTCGCAGATTTTACACAAAGTTTGCCGAAAAAACGTTTATCAACACATCAAAAAAGCTGAAGAAAACTACTCAGATGTTCCTGTCCGCTTTCAACGAGTTTTTGCCCATAGATACGATGTGTATACATTTGGACTAAATTAAGTCGAATGAAGAGTAGACACTCGCTCATGCCTATATCGAAAGCTGAAAAAAGCTTTCAACGCAATTCCTGCTGAATTAAAATGTGAAACATGATGAAGATGTTGTACATGTACATGAAAATGCTTATTTGACTCTGTTAGATTCGTCAGAACATTAAGAAGAGATCATCTTCAACTATTGGCGACGGTCTATAATAGTGGTTAACATTGCAAATTATGCTAGAAAATTGTCTTATTTATGAATTTCTGGATTTTAAATCGACCCAAAAATCCATAAATCGAGAACATTTGTATCTAAAATTGAAGAATCTTAAACTAAATGGAATGTAGAAGAGATTTGCTTTTTTCGCTCTAAATTTCAACATGATTTTGGCTGCAAAGGAATGCAAAATAAAATGTAAATCTTGGAACTATCTATGATTGCTTCGGATAGTTATGCATGAGGTAAAAACTAAAAAAGAATATATTCCTGCAATGAAATATGTAGTGATTTGGACCCTGTTCGCAGTAAAATTTGTGCACTATAATAATCCAGTACTTAGATCGGGGTGTGGGTATGAGTGTGATTGCCGTCCATTTCTTCGCTCACAACCACATCTAAAGAATACTTGCTTTAGATACATTTCTAGATTAAATTTTTTTTTTATCTAGAATGTTTCTGTCGTCGATTTATTTTTAAAACAACTCTACTAATATAGATGGCCAAATTTCATCATGTTTTTTGTAATTTCATGTCCATACACGATAGTCACAGAGATCAGAAACGAAGTTGATTCATTGACTATATTTCTCTTACATTCTTCAGCGTGTATTTTGGATTCATCTTCCTAAGAGGCTGGTTTATTATTCGTATTAAATCTTTAATTATCTGAAAAAAAATTCACAATGACAGATTCCTTTTAAAAATCAACTCCATAAGTGAGCAGCACAAAATTAGCTCTCGGCGTTTGTCCTTGATTGCCATAAAAATAATCAAAACAAGCCTAAAAGCAGTTCATGATCTATACGAGCCAATTTATAAAAACAATACCATATTCTGTTATCAGAAAACTTAAATAAAGCACATTTTTAAATACAATTTAACCATGTTGTAGCATTCAATTATTAAAAATCTGTAATTGAGTATCTTCTACTTATTCATAATTTTGAATTTATCAGACATAGATCATTATAAATTGTTTATTAATGTACTTTGAATTGAAATAAATAATGAACAAATATCAGAAATGAATGTTCTATATACATAATCTAAATGTTAAAGAATAGATCGCTTACTATTTCGAGATTTTCTGCAACTATCTTGATCTAAATAATGAATATAGTATAATCTCTATATTTAGGAATTCTTATTGTCAATGTCAATTTGTTGTCACGAATGGCTCAACGTTAGAAGAAATCTCTTTGATAAAATATAACAACGATTTTTAACGTGCTGACTAGCGACAAAGTACAAGATTTCCAAGGGTAGTGTCTAAAATACGTTGATGACAAGAAGAAACAAAAAAAGATGACATTGTCGAGAAGAAAAAGATAAGAAAACGTCAGTAATTAGAGAAATACACATATCATGGATGTAGGTGTGGGCATGTGGGTGTGAGTGTGGATCTTCTCTTCACCCACAGCCACATCCCACAGCTACACTCTACACCCACACCCTCAAATGGTTCTAATTTTCATTCAAGTTTATCAATATGACTTTAGAGTATGATCGTCACGAAACCAATTCGAAATACATTCGCCTACATTATAGTCTGAACATTCGTATCTGGTACGAGATTGTGTTTTTGGTCGTTTGACAGTTGAACTACGGGCAATACGTCGTCGTTTTCCTCTACTGGTTAGCGTTGGGTATGCGAGACAATAAATTAGGGCGATACAGGATGATTGACTGATGCATGGAAGGAAATATTAGATAAATATCACTACTATAAGCATAATCTAACCCATACACAACTACGTCTCATCGAGTGTGGGTGTGGGTGTGGGTGTGGGTGTGGGTGTTAAGGGGAGACTTATATCCACATCCACACACTCACACCCACACCCCACACCCACACCCTACACCCACACCCACGCACCCATACCCCACACCTACACCCCACACCCACACCCTTTTCTTTCTATTGGATCACATCTGACAGAATAGAATAGAATGGATTGAATTGGACTCATATTGTGTTTCAAAAGAATTGTGAAGATGAATGATTCCGTCAGATTTGGTATCGAAAAAAGAAGAAGATCTGATCAATTACTGAATGCATTGTCGAGGAAAGGATTCGAAGAGGATGTACAACCCATGATTTGTATCAGTGTTGCCCGAGAATATTAGTGAGAAGGGCATTGACTCATCCTTGAACGAACAGATAACAGCTGGGAAAAAAACCAAGACGATGAAAATACAAAGAACAACAATTAGAGAGAGGAAATGTTTGGTTCTTTTCCCGAACTTTTCATTGTTGAGAAAGAAGATTGGATTGTTGATGGATAAAACTCTTTGCATTGATTAAGATCATCGCCGATCAATCGAATCAATTACAATTCAATGAAGAACAACAAAAAACCGAATTTTTGGTCATCATCAAATAACATTTGAAGGAACATTTTTTGATTTCAAACTTTGTTGAAAAATCAATCATCATCATGATCTGCGTTGGATCAGCACATTGTTCAATAAAAGTTCAAATGCGAGACGAAAAAATGAAGATACATGACGGTTGTAGTTGCAATCTCCTCGTCTTTGGTTATCAGAGAATTGATCCACTGAAATTGAAAGCACTGAAATATTCGCAGATCAATCGAGATGATTTGACTTTTTTGTTTATCATGGATTTCATCGATTTGATCTTTGAGATTGCTAAAGAACTCCGATGACGATCGATCGATCAATCAGATTGATCAACTTGTTCGCGAAGATCAAATCTGAAGATGATCATTATTCAATTGTTAATTATCAATGATTTGACAAAAGAAATCTTCTCTTCACAACCTTTGATATTCATCTGATCGCGAATCGATCAAAGAATATCTTCACCTCGTTTTTAAATAAATAAAAAAAGAATTCGATCGATATCAATCGTGGATCTCCTTTGGCTAACTGATTCGTGTAGTTTGTCATATTTTGATAGATATTCTGATCAATGAAATGCTCATTGACCATTTTTCTTTTCATTTGACTCTAACGGAGATTTTCTTTTCGATAAAAATAAATCGATGATTCACATCGAATAAAATGAAAAGAATTTTCATTCGTATTGAATCAACAAAATCATTTCGAAAGACTTTTATCATTCGGAGAAACAAATGTCGATCAATTCATTTCTTCTCTTGGTTTCTCTTTTCGTTCGTATTTCTGTTCGGATAGATCGATGATGATAATGGTCGAATAACGAATGAAGAAAACAAATTCAAAGGGATATCACTATTTCTACCAAAAGAAAAAAAGGGTGGATGTGGGTATGATGAGAAGACTTACACTGGCACCCATACCCACATCCACACCCACCCACACCCTAGTTATAACCAAAATCATTACCTTCATCAAGAAAAAGAATTTCAAAAAAATTCGTTCAATTGCTTCGATGAATACATTTATGTATCAATCAATATTGCAACTACGTTGAACTGCTAATAAAACAAAAACTTAGATAACTTGTTTTTGGATTTGTACTCTTCATAAATCTTATTATTTTTAGTAGATGCTAAGTGCATAGGATAATTTCATGTCTAACTCTCAATAAATACCTACCATTCGAATAATTTTCTATCAGTCGTTCAAGACAAGTATCGCTAAGGCAACCTAAAAACTGAGATATTTGATTTTTCACTTTGTTGCTATTTTTTAAAAATCTTAATATTTTTTTATAATATATTATTAAAAATAAATCAGTTTAACATTGAATGTTGAGTCTAAAAAAGTTTTAATGATGTTTTTTTATATTCTTTCCATAATAAAAATAAAAATGATGTCACAGAAATTTATCAATCATCTAGTAAAATAGATAAAGAGAGTTTCATTATTAGAACTGAACGATAGTAGATGAAGGTAATTTAGAGTTTTGTGTATGATTTGATGTTTTGCTGAACTGTTTTACCATAGAGATATTATTTTGGAATATTAAACTTCCTTCGGTGTAAAAATTTAGATAAATATTTTTTCACAATATATCGTTTCGTCCATATAAATAATAATAATGATAGAATAGTAATGATTGCAAATATTAAAAATAATCCACTCATTGAATTGATACCCATCTCTGTCGATGTTTCATATAAATTAGGACAACCTTGTCTTTGGAACCATTTTCCTCTTAAATCTTCAAGTTCACCAGATTCTCTTAATGATAAAATATTAACATCTAAATCTTCATTATAAAACCAATACTTTTTACTAACAATTCCATAAACACCTTTATCAAATTCTTCTCCAACTATAGTTAAATTACAATAAATATTATTAGTAATATATTCAGCAATGCTAGTATCAATAATAATTGCATCAACAATACCATTAAGTAAATTATTAAATAATTCTTGTACAGTTTCAAATGCATAATAACTTCGAGTATCACCAGATATTTCTCTTAAATAATAATCTTCACTTGCTGTACCAGCACGAAGACCAATACGATTAAATGGAATTTTTCCTTTTTTGATATCATCAATGCCAGAAATAAAATTTTTTGATTTCAATATTGTTAAATTTGATGCTAAATTTGCAGTAAATGTAGCTACTAATATCAAACTTAATATATATAAACTAGCAGTTACTAAACGTCCAGCAGCTGTGTTGACATGAAAATCCACACCATATCCAACTAAATTACCAAATGAATACCATATACTCATTATCAATTGAGATAATTTGGATCGATTTTTTAATATTTCATTATCATTTCTTTCTAGAAGACAAATCAATAAACCAGCATAAATAATAGCACACAATACTAATAACCAAAGATTAAATGAAAATGATTTTAAGAATGATAGAAGATCAATATTAATATCAGGTGTTTTTCGCATTACAATATGTAAAGAATTATCAAAAATTGCATTAGAAAAACTAACTAATTCTCTTCGTATAGAAGTTTCTGTTACATCACCAACTACAATATCATAATCACCATTTGCTACTGATTGAATTAATCCAGAATATGTTTGATTTGATGATGCTAATGTAATATTTGAAATAAATCCAATTCTATCTTGTAATAGTTCAATAAGCTCAGGTATATAACCGATTAATTCCTTTTTATTCTGTCCAAATTTATCAACAATATTTATAACCATGGTAAAAGGAATAGATTCAATAACACCTATTCTCAAAGATCTACCTTTCAACGTTGCTCGACCGCTTGGACATACTAATGAATTACCTGGCCAAATAATGACATTTGTATCTTGGAACATTTTCCAATTATTAGAATCAGAATATTCTAATACTGGTACAAAATTTAATTCATTTGAACAACGCTGAACATTTTGTACATAATAATACGAACCATTGATTCGATCGGTTCCATCAACAGTAAATTTAATAGGACCAGATACACCAAGAAAATCTGTTCTACTCAACGTATTTAATAATAAATCAGAATGAACAAAACGACGATGAAAACAAAATGAAGATTCAGTAAATGATAAACATGAAGAAGAATTATTTTTCAATGTTGAACAAAATTTTTCTAATGATTGAATTAAAGACCATGTTGCATCGAATGCAAATAATGCATAAAAATCTACTTTTGTTGATCCAGGAAATGATTCTGGTTCATATTGTTGCCAAATCTGATATGCTTCATCTAATAATGTTGTATTGATTGGTGCATTAACAATAGATGCTGTAACAGGTTCAATTGTAAGTAAACCAATTAAGTTATTTTGAAATATTTTATCAAAATTATCCAATGAAATACTTGAACTTAATATCCATGTAAAATGTGGACCTAATACATTATACTTAAGAGCATCATTTAGAATAGAAGGTATATAATCTGATTGAACCCATAAAATAACAATTCGAGCTACACTATTCATTAAAAAAGTTTTTAAATCACCTCGAATATGAAGAGTTGCAACATCAAATATTATAAACTCTTCAACTAATAAATCATGATTGATAAATAATTCATGTATTACTTTAGCTGCTCCAGATCCAAATGCATCATTTTGATAAATAATTATACATGATGTCCAATTAAATCGAATAAATAATTTTACAATTGCTAATGCAGTTGAATTATCTGATGGAACTGTACGAAAAAAACTTGGATAAGCATTTCGATCAGATAAATCAGGATCAGTTACACTATATGATATAACAGGTATACCTATTCTTTTACCAAAAGCAGCTAATAAATGAGCTTCTCTTGATAATCCTGGACCAACAATACCAACAATATTTGAATAAGACAATATTTGACATGTTTTACTAAGAGGATCGATTATATCACCATCAGTTTCTGCTGATTGCCATCCTATTAATTGTTCTTCTATTCTTATATTATATTTTTGAGATAGTAATATAGCTGCTTTAAACATAGCACGACTATGAACACATAATTTGTTAGATTCAGATGTATTTGATATATTATCAAAAAGACCTAATAGTTGAATTTTCGAAACGTTTAACGATGGCCAAGCTGATGTTACATAATATACATTTAATTGTCCAAAAATAAAGTAAAACAATAACCATTGATAGTTCCACCAAGTTATCATTGTTGTTTTGACTCCAATGTAAATAAAAATGTCAAAGTAAACGTAATGAAAACGAAAACAAGGATAATAGTTATGATAAGTAATCCAGCAATAATTATATTCTTAATATTCTGAAGGTAAAGAAAAAAAGATTCGTCATTTTTCAAAGATTGGTAAATTTATCGGGTCGTCTTCATCATTTATACTAAAATCTATTTCAATCAAAATATCGAACATTGTCAACGAATTCTCAGTAATCTACCATATAAGCTATGATTTATTTTAAAACAATTGAACTAAACAAATTTTAGTTTTTACTTTTTTAAAGGGTCTTATCTTACTGGCTAATGAATGAAATTGAAAAATAAGGGAAATTCAATATATAGACTGACAGCTTGGAATCATTTTTACTTGTTTTATTGAAAGAAGGCTTCACTGTAGGTGTGAGTTTCTGCGGATGCGTATGGATAGGACGTGGTTAATGGGTGATTCTAGATGAACATGGATGTCCGTGTGGAATGTAGGTCTTGGCAAGAGATGCAGCCATACATAGCAGCTTAAATATCTGCTGACGTATATCTGTATTACAGCGTCATCGTCATGCCAGAACCATTAATAGAGAAAACAACAATTTAAGATAAGGGAACTTTCCACCGGAGGCACCATTTTTCAAGGGCTTTAAATCTGAAAGATTTTACTTCAAAGACGAAACATAGGGAGAATTTTTTTTTCGAAGATTATAGTTAAGTACATCACGTGTAGCACATGTTTGAAAGGATACTGTGGCATGTATTTTTTTTTATTGGCATTATACTACAATATCAAAGTCGTTTGATTGTAATTTTATAGAATCCCTAGTTGATATTCTGTGGTGAAATCCTCGAAAAATCATGACACTGCTTCACTAGAGAAAGAAATAACCAGAATTAGGTTTTTCACTCAAATAAAAACAGAGCTAATCTGGTGACATAGCATACTTTGTATCTGATTGCGAGTATATACGACTTTGTGTGCTTCTGATGTGCGCATACGTGTTTTTTTTCTGTGCAAAGCTGCTGATAAACGAACGGCGAATTTGTATGTCAATGTGGTTCTCTTTTTGCACTCGGATCTCAAGCAATTTATTTTTTTTCCGTTGCTCCTGCCCACTGAAAACAAACAGGAACACAACTAAGTAACGATGAAGAGTGTATACAATCGTGTCATTTATTTTTCACTATTATTGTCACTCTCTAATCAATAAACGGGTGAAAAATGAAAGCTGAAAAACAGGAGCATATTAAATCATTAGAACTAATACAATTTTTTACGCTTCTCCTGTTTTGCTTCGATATTCAATTCAGTTACAAAATGCATCATGAATTACAAATTGTATATGTCATTATAATAATGACGATAAATGTTCCAGAAGAAACCTACGTATACGATTAAGATTGGATTGGGACACAACTACGGTGTAGCTGTGATCGCACTATGACTCGTAATTGAGAAAAATTATGACGTCGATACGCGTAGCTGCGACTTTTTTTTATAGTAACTATATGCAACTATGATTTTTTTTCATGGTAACTATCCGTATGTGGGTAGTAGCTGCTGAAAGAGAGACGATATAGAAATCTACTTCAAGTCGTACATTCATAAAATCATACTACAGGCATACATTATCATTGTCTTAGATTTTATTTATCATTTGAAACGAGAAATAATAAACCATGTAAAAGTTCCTTGTCCAAAAAATCTTGCTTTTAGATCTGTTCTATAAGTGTGTACATTAATCAAAAGCATCAATTGAAATAACTCTTAATTCTCTTTTGAATTCAAAATTATAAATAAACAAAATTGTACACTTCTAAATTAAAATTTTCTATATTATGTTTGTATATGAGGTATTCTTTGACAGAAAATAATCACTATTCCTTATCGATGCTTTTCTCTTAATCAATATTTGAAAATAATGTTAATCTAGTTTCAAATAAAATGAGACTTCTAAAATAAGGAAATGTTTTCATGAATAATTATCACTGATAACATCTCTTTCTATATAGTATCTTTATGGAGATGTGGATCCAGCGGTGTGAGTGTGGAGTATTGAGTGTGAGTTCTAATGCTCCTTGATCAACATCCACACACTCATATCCTCGATGAAAATATTTTCGAGAAAATCAAGATTATTTTTGATCGAGACTGACTAGATATAATTTTTTTTGTACGATGCCTACATTTTTCACAGGATAATTCTATTAAAAATGATTTGAATTCTTAAATTTATTGTAGAAAAAGTCTAGTCGATCGAGAACATGGTCATTAGATATTTTCAGGAAATTTAGACTTTCTAGCGTTTGCTTAAAACTTAGCTTTTCCGAATTGTTCAAGAGAACATGATCTTCATTCAAGAGTATTCATGATGGCAACCGTTTAGAGAATTTTTTCAATTGAATATTAACTTCTTACTGAACTACTTATGTTTTGTAACAGAAATCTAACTTTAGACTCATATTCAACATCAAATTTTACATCTACTAGGCGATTTCAGACATGTTTAGAACCATTCATATATGGATTCTAAGGATTCTTTCTCGATTTTGTGTATTTTAGCCAATATGTTATAAATCTGCATTCAAGATCTGTTCATTTTTCTGTATCTTGTACGTTGACTAAAGTCTTGTTTAGAAAATGTTATAATGGAGTATAATTAATCCTGTATTATGACGCATTGAATGGAATTGTTTATAGGTGATCATATCTTCTCATTTTGAGCTACGAAACTTCTCAAATATTAATTTTATTTAGAAAAACTATCATAATATATTTCGTTATTATTCGATTTTCTGTTAATTATAGGAAGACATCGTAACTTATTTATCAACGAGAATCAAACGATCGATATAAGTTAAATTTAACTTATATGAATTTCTTCATTTGAACATGAACATTTTAAAGATATGACATTATAACAAGAACTGATGAATGATTGAGAAATGAAAATATTGCAGCGCTTATTCTTATTACGCCAGATCTATCAAGAAAATAAAATTGAATTCAATTAGTTAAATATCAGAAGTTTGTTTTTTTAAATTGATGTCTGTATATTTAAGACGATATTCATTTTTTTATGATTAAAAATTACTAGAAAAAAAAAACAAGATAATATCTTTGATTTCGATTTATTTATGACATGAGTAATTGATAAACTTCATCTATTTAGAAAAATTCATTTAATTCATTATTCAATAAACAAAAGAAATTCAACTTTCAAGCAATCAATCTTCTAATTATCTTCAAAAGTTTACTTCTAATTTTAAAAATATCAGGTTTATTACCAAAATTTTCTTCATATATTAAATAAAATAAGATAATACTTCATAATTCTTAAAGGTATTTTTCTGTTCATCATCATTTTCTTACATCGTTTTGTTCATCAAAGAAATGGTATTACTTAATTCAGTTTAGACAGTGTCCTCATCGTCATGCAGTACTGTGTGTACATGTTATATCGTTCCTACGTTTAAAGTAAACTAGTATCGAAAAATCAGTATTTTCAATGTTTACTCGAAAACAATCTCTATATGAAAGTGTAGCATAAAAAAGATTTTATTGGGACTTTTAGACTAAGTAGTAAAATTATTGAAAATATCCTTGTATTTTGAAAGGTATGATGGAAAAAGGTAGAAAGGAAAAATGTCGAAAAGGAAAAATATCGAAAATAAAAATATCGAAAACAAAAATAATAGAAATGTAGATGGGTAGAAATGCTGAAAACGAGAGTATATTGAAGTACAAATTTCCTCACTCTCACCTTCAATCTTACGTGTTCATCTTCACCTCATATTCTTGTTTTCGACATTTTTATTTTCGATATTTTTCCCTTTCGACATTTTTCCTTTCTGTCTTTTTCCATCCATTCTTTTGAAATATATGTTGAGGCAATGTGTTATTTTTTTGTGTGAAAAATTCATAACTTATCAATAGTTACAAAAAAGAGTTCTCCTATTGGTAAATCACTTGTGAATTAAGACGATGTGCATTATGTAGATCTAAATACTCTGAAAAAAGTTCGTGTCCTTAGCTTTTTGTTGCAGAGATACAGTACTTCTAATACATTTTTAAAATGAATGTTATTGTTCTCTTAAGGAATATCAGAAAAACTGATTTGTGAATTTCGAACTTGAAATTTTGAACAGAGATAAACTTTAATGAGATTAGTTTATTATGAGTATCTTAAATTTTGTCACTGTTTCTATCCTAAGATATACGGTCAAAATCATTAATCTGAATCGATAGAATTTATAGCATTTTTCTCCTGATTGAATTTGAATGATCAATTATTCTACTTGAAACGAATTATTGAGAACAGTAAAACTTTTTTTCATTATTATGAACAATTTATAAAAATTTTGAGTGCATCACAAAGAGAATGTATTGTTATATTTAATTTTGAAAAACATTTTTTCATTATCATTTTACATTACTCTCCATACTAATACAATAAAAAATTCGTTTTATTTATTATAATGAGACAATATTCATATTCTATCTTTAATCGTTTTTCGACAAGCTCTATCACAGTTTGTGACGTGCAACTTCGCGTGAACAATATGATGTCTCTAGAGAAAACTAATATCTAACAAAATTAAGCAATTCGACGGATCAATTGAGTACATTTTTAAATTTCTAATTCAAACTCTATACAATAGCAAGAATGTCATATAATTTTCACAAGTAACTTTTGAGAAAAAAAGAACATTTTTTTTGTTGTATCGTTCCAAAGGCTAGTCCTATAAAATGAGCAATTCAAACTTCGAATTTTTCCAAATTCTGTCAGAGTATTCTTCTATCTATTATCTCTGATCCCTGTTAACTCACATATTCCTAAACATTTCAATAGATTTTTCAGGCTTTCTGTCTTAGTGAAGAGATTTTATCAAGAAATATCGTATATTCCAAATCGGCGCATTAAATTGCCTCAATTAACGTATAAAACAAAAAAAATTTCTCGAAAAAATGAAGGCTATAGTTAGAGA